AGGTATTGGGTAGCACTAAAAATGTTTACTCAATTAAAGATATCCTCGATTAAACTCGATTACACTCAATTAAACTCGATTAAACTTGATTAAAGATATCCTCTTTAAAATTTTTAAACCACCTATTACTCAAGGATCTTTTCCAGATAGCTTGAAAATAGCAAAAATAACTCCAATCTTTAAAACAGGCGACCCTAAAAACGCAACAAATTATCGTCCTATCTCAGTTCTACCAGTCTTTTCAAAAATATTTGAAAAAATAAAAACAACAGATTGTACACTTATCTTATTGACAATAAACTTCTTTATAAAAATCAGTTTGGTTTTCAAAAAAAAAGTTCTACTGAACACGCTATTTTCCAAGTAACGCGCAGTATTGCCGACTCTTTTAGGAATTCTCAATTTACTCTTGGCATATTTATTGATTTGTCAAAAGCTTTTGACACTGTTAATCAACATATTTTATTAAAAAAGCTAGAAAGCTATAGTATAAGAGATGAAACCCTAAAATGGTTCAAAAGTTATCTAAGTAACCATAAACAATTTGTTTATAACAAAGAATCTTCGCCTCAATTTTTAACGAATATAGCATGTGGTGTTCCCCAAGAATCCATACTTGGGTCACTCTTATTTTTAATATACATAAATGATCTTTACAAAGCTTCTAATTTAGCGACAATAATTTTTGCTGACGATACGAGTTTATTTCAGTCAAACGAAGACATTAAAATACTCTTTAACAATATGACTGAGGAACTTAAAAATATTTCAAATTGGTTCAAAAAAAAATAGGTTGTCTTTAACACAACTATATTATTTATTTATTCATTGCCATTTAAATTATGCAAATATAGTATGGGGAAACGCTCACAAAACCAAACTTAAATCTCTCTATCGACATCTGAAACACAATTAATTTTTCGAATCGTTTTTCAAGCTCAACACCACTTCTTAAAGAAATGAAAGTTTTGAATATTTACAAACTAAATGTTTTGAATATTTTATGTTTTATGTTTAAATGTGTAATGATTGTTATGCAAAACAATTAGCGATTGTAAAACAAGCAAATCCCTTTTGCAAATTGCACAAAAACTTATAACGAAAGTATTCCCTTGAGAGAATTCCGCACGAGGAATTTTCGGTTAAAAGCCAGTGCGCTGAATTTAATTACAGTTGAAGGTTCGACGCGAAACTCTACAGAGTTTTATATTTAAACTAATTGTAATAATTTAATATGAAAATATTGAAATATATAGTAAATAAAAATCATAGTCGAATTCTCTTTATAATAAATATAAAGACAAAACATTACAAAATGTAAAGAAAATATATCACCTAATGTAATTATAAATCTTTATAATTTGAAACCTAAAAACAAATATAATCTTCGTGCCAGTAAAAGTATCAAAGAGCCATATTGCCAAACTAAATTTGACCAGTTTTGTATTTCTTATTGTGGTTTTTCTCTTTGGAATAAAATAATTGTACCTAATTTCGATTTTCCTTTTAAATGGTCTTATTCTTCTTTTAAACGGAAAGTAAAAGATTATCTTTTCAACACAAAATATTTATATCTATTTTTAGTATTTAAGTTGTTTTTTTATTTATTTTGATTTATACTTTATTTTGTTTATTATATAGACTGTGAAAAATATTAGAATATTGTATTGTTTTTGTTATATAGATTGAAAGGGCTTCGTGAGAAGATCCTGTGATCTTCTAGAAGTCCTGCCGTTAATATAATCAATGTAAATTTACCTTGTACATATTCTGGCAAATAAATAATAATAAAAAAATGTCAGTAGACTTATGAACATCGAGAAAATAGTTCATCAAATTTGAATAAGGTAATTGTGCAAATTTAGACAGATATCTTGAAAAATTTCAAGTATATAAAGGTAGTCTACTGATTTTGTTGTTGTATTGTGCTAAAAAAGTATAATTAAAACTCAAAAATATAAATAAGTATTAAAAAAAACTATTACTTGATGTATTAATTAGTGTGCAGTTTTATTTTTGTGCTAATTTTTATCTGACAGTTACATGTTTATTTGTATACATACAAATACATGTATAATTATTTACACACATATAAACATGCCAACATATAAATATATATACTTACACATACATATATACATATACATGTTTATATATATATATATATATATATATATATATATATATATATATATATATATATATATATATACATATAAATATATATATATATATAAATATATATATATATTTACATATAGACATGTATATGAATATATGTATGTGTAAGTATATCTATATATATATCTATATCTATATATATATATATCTATATATATATATATATATATATATATATATATATATATATATATATCTATATCTATATCTATATATATATATATATATATATATATATATATATATATATATATATATATATATATATATATATATATATATATATATATATATATATATATATATATATATATATATCAGCTTCCTGATGAACCTATTCATGGTGAAACATGCTGTTGAAGAGCACAAAAATTAGATAAGTGTTTTTATTAAATTATATTATATATATATATATATATATATATATATATATATATATAATATATATATATATATATATATATATATATATATTATATATATATATATATATATTATATATATATATATATATATATATATATATATATATATATATGATCTAGTAATCCTTTAGGAATTACTAGCAATTTTGATAAAGTTCTATTTCGTTAGTATTTTGCAATTAAAGATGTATATGGATTCTTGATATTTTATTATTTATAGTATTTTTTTATACTAATACCTTAGGTGATCCAGAAAATTTTATCAACGCGAATTCATTAGTAACTCCTGTCTATATAATGCCAGAGTGATATACTCAATATAATAATTAATTCAATATAATTAAATAACATTGATTTTATTTTGTTATATTTTGGTTTTGGAAAACTCTATACCTCTTTTTTTCATTTGTATCTGTTTCATCTAACTTCAAATAAATTTAATGATTTCGAATTTTTTTTTCTTAAAGCGTGTTCTATGATTATTGTCATCTCCTACACTATAACCTGTTTAATTCAAAAGAATAATGCAGCCTAGTACTATAGTATCACTTAAACAAAAAAAACTGTTATAAATTTTAATTATAACAAATTTGTAGAAGGCAATATTTTTTATTATTTTATAAAAATAAAAATTTATTCAAAAATATTCAATATATTGCCTTAATTTAGTTATATATATTAGGATAATATTGTAAACTATATTAGGCCAATATTGGCCAGTATATTATCCCCATTATTGGCGCGATATTATTTACAATATTGGCGCAATATTATAAACTGTATCGGGCCAATGTTGCAATGTGAACATTTGTGGCCAATATTGGCCAATATTGGACTTGAACAATATTGGCACAATATTGTAGCGCCAATATTGGCAAAATGTTCAAACTGCAACATTGGCCCGATATAGTTTACAATATTGCGCCAATATTGTAAACATTATCACCCCAATATTGCGCCAATATTGTTTGCTACTAGGGTATATTGTTATGTGCAGAAGGTAAACTTAAAAATTAATCCTAATGATATATAGAGCGCTAAATACTAATAATTTTTTCCTGATTTAGTACCACATCTATCCTGCACTTGTGAAATATCATTATGAAAGAGACACAAAAACATTTTTTTGTTAACTCGTGAATCATACAATAAATCGGTACACCGAAATGCCACACACAATATATCCAGAATCTAGACTTTATGTTAACATTAACTTCATTAGAATCTAGATTTTAGGTTAACATTAAGTTGTTTATCCGTTGCCTCCATATTCTAATAGGAGCGCTGTGCAGTGCCTCTAGTACAGGTAAAATTTATATTAAAAATATATGGCGTTCTATTTTATTATAATTTTGATAAAGGAATCCAGTTTTTTTTTTTTTTAATTAAACCATATTTTGCGCGCGTAAATGATATTTACACGCGTGATACGCTTGGTAAGTACACGCAAAATTTATTTTTAATAGCAATTTTAACTTTTTTTTGACTCAAAACATTATAGTATTGATGTATCACATGTTTTTATATGACAGTTATAAAAATTTTTGCTGTTTTTTCACCTTTCTGACTCGCACATTTACCAATGAAAAATATATTTGGATTTACAAAATCAAAATACCGTATTACATCCCTTAGACAAATCCCTCTACAAAGCTTATTTGCTTTCCACATGGAATGCAAATTGCCTTAAAATCACAGCTATCATTAGTTTTGAAAATTATTTTGAAGTTTAAACTCGCCAGTTAATCAGGTAATATTTTGTCATAATAAAAATATATTATAGGATTTGAATCAAATTATCCGGCCGGATAATTTTTAAATATACGGGTATTCGATATCCGGTCGAATAATAAAAAATGTTATCCAGGACACCCCTTTTCAAAAGGTCTTATTATAATTAGGGCAAAATATATATTTTTTTCTCTCTGCGTTCATATACACCTATCAATGGGAAAATGTTAAAATTTCAATCGAAACTAGTGGAATCTGTTTGTTTTTGATTTTAACTCACAATTAAACAAAAACAACAACATAAATTATTTCAAAACACTTTTTTAAAATTTTAGTAATGAAAATGTAAGCAAAAATTTGGCTTCAAATTAAATTTTGATTTATTATTACCCACATCAATCTTAAAAGATACTAAAACGAGACACTGAGGCGAGAATTTTGTAAACAAGTTTTCTAATAAATAAAATAAGCTCGGAAAAAGACGTTAAAACTGTGAGCTCTTAAAAATTAACCACAAGAAAATTAATTATAATCTATTAGTGGCATTATGTTACATTTAATTTAATTAATTAAGTTCTAGAAATAGTTTTTTTTCTTCCGTTGTTTATGAATTTTGTTTCACTGCGCGCCGACATAAAGTGTATAAGCATTAAAACAAATAAATACTTCATGTGCTAATTTTTTTAAATTTATAAATAACAGAAAAATTTTATCCTAAGTGAGCACCTCGTACACCCGTTGAATGGTTATTTAATGACTATAATTTTTACAACAATTTTACTCACAAAGTTAAATATCTGTTTTTTAATTTTACAAATTATTTAAAGGTAACAAAAATATATGCCATAATAAAAAAAAAAAAAAAAAAAATTAAGGAAAAATTACAAAATTAAAAAAAGAAATTATAATGCTTTTCATAAAACATAACTATAAAATACAAAATTAAAAAAACTCTAAAAAATTAAAAACTGCGGTCCAAATTATTCTAGTCATGAAAATCTTTTACGTGAGAAGCAACTATCTTCCAAAATAGATAAATATGTTTTAATAAAAATTCATCACTAATTGGCTCTAAAGAAATTGTTATTGTTGTTTCTTGTTTATCTTTATACAATTGCAGAGCTTCACTTAGCCTGAAAATAATTTAAAACAATGAAACAAAAAGACAATTAAATAATAAAACACAGTTAAACCCAAGTTAGGTAAACAAAGGTAAAAATCTAGTAAATTAAAAAAAAAAGTATACGCAATGTAATATAAATTTATAAAAACCTTTTAAAGAATGTTGATGTCAATAGAATTTTAGATTGGGTGTTAGAGAAAGCAGGGCCTAATTTACGGGGGCTGAGGAAGAAAGCGTAGGAGAGGGGGAGAAGGGGAGTGTCTAGGAAAATTTTATTCAAAAATTAGTCGGCAAATTGGGACACTGGAGTCAGAAAATTCGGATTTTTAGTTTGCAGTCGGCAAATGTCAGCCAACAAGGACTCTTTTTTTTTTTCAACCAAATTTTTTTTCTGGCCCATAGTCAGCAAAAAATCTTAACTTGACTCCTCCCCCTTCCTTTAAAATTCCTTTGCGACGGCCCTGAGATCAACTAGTGATTTCCAGTATATAGGCTAAATCATTTGTACAACAAACACATGCTTTCGAATAAGTTTGATTGCTCAAACTTAAATATCAAATTAAATTTTGGCTGTTAAGAATATAAAGAAATACTAATATTTTAGCAACTGTTTTCGATACTTAATGTGGTACAAAAGTGTCCAGTAAACATTATCTTGTGGCTATAAAAATTATCTTGTGACAATAATCTCCAAATAATTGCAGTTATAATTTATAACTTAATACGATTACATTTATTGATGCAATAACTGCACTCTTTTAGTTCTAAAATAAATGTCTGATTATTTTTCACAAGCAGTCACAAAAAATTGAGAATTTTTTATTAGGGTTTTAAGATAATGTGAATACAATAAAAATGTCAACAATGGAAGCTTTGATGGAAACTGGATCAATTTTGTGAAAATGGTTACGTCAGGCAATACTTCACGGTTTCCCCAAAATATTTACCTATATAATTTTTGTAGGATAGAGTGTGAAAACATGAAACAGAATTTTTACCTTGTTAAATGTGATAACTACGAGTTAGGATCGTCCATAAAGTACGTACGCTTTTATTTCGACCTCAACCCCTCGTCCCATATTTTGCCATACGCTTTTTTGAGTACCCTCCCCCTCCCTACAAGTAACTACGCTTATACCCAGCATTTTTTTATGCTTTTTTTAATTTAGTGTCTTCTTACTTTTATAATTGACCCACTGCTCCCCCATCACATATACCTGTCTTCCTCTCCGAGCGTACCTACTATAAAGACGATCCATTACATTATGGTGAATTTAAAAAAACTCTAAAGTTCGGTTGTTTAGATTTTTATAAACTTTTTGTTGATTATTAAAAAAAATTAATCCATAAAATGTATTATGTTGAGAATGTAACGTCACTCCCCCTCCCCACCCCCTTTATCAAAATAGATAAAAAATTTTTTTTCGTAAAACTTCGATTACATAAAAAGTATAAATTGAGGCTTATTAAGAAAATTATCTGTTTGTTATTAAGTAAAGATAAAATAAAAATGTATGAAACTTGTATTAACTACATCCGCTCTCATAATTAGGAAAAAACAACCGTTTTATCAGTTTATCATTAAGTTTAACATGAAATCGCTTGTACAATATCATATCGTTTAACATCAGGTTAACACAAAATTTAGAAGCATGGTTCAATAAATCGATAAACGTGCGAAATTTTAGCATAAAATCGACAGACTTTTCTTCAAAAATATTCCTCTTCAAAAGAAAATTTTTGCGATCTTACTTTTAGAATAAAAAATTTAAAATAAAACTTTGGTTTTTATTTTAATTGATTTGTTTACAATTTAAATGAAAGGTTTGTATTTGTAGTTTAAATTGAACATTTTGTTTTCATCATTTTATAATGAATTTAAAAAAAAAAAACGTTCCCTTTATTTTTGCATTTTTTATGTATTATTCAATTAGGAATTTCATTACATGGACTTATATATAGGCAACTAAAAAATAATATAAATCCAATTTGCATAAAAGTGGACATTAGAGGTTTTGATTCCAAGGTCTTCAATTGCTTTGTTTACATTTGAAATAAATTTTAATTATCATTATTATTTATTTTTTTTTTGCAATATAAAATTTATAATCTTATTAAAACGGCCGTGGCGCAGTGGTCAGAGCGCAGAATTTTTATTATTTTATTTAGAGCTTAAATAAAAAGTTCGTTTTTAATTTATTTAAAAGAGAAAATAAACTTTAGTTTTAAAATTTTGAGGTCGACATAAAAATGCCGATTGCAGACACTGTCAAGTTAGGCAGTTAGGCAGTATTGCTGATTGCCGACCCGAGTGCTGCTTCATTGAGTATTAAAGTTATCATTGGAAAGAAATATTTCAAAAGGTGTCTAAAGCTTCCCAAAGGTTTAAAAAGAAACTTTAAAAAAAACCAATTGTCTTCGAATTTAACTTCTATCCTATCTATTTCTTTTTTACCACCCTCGCAAGTTGAACTTTAATTTTTAAAATATCCATAAAAATTTTTAAAAATTTTCCCAATATTTATCAGATTCTGGATAAGAAACTTATTCCAGAATCAAGAAAAATTAAAAATTCACCAAGGCAGATATCCATTCAATCCTGCTAAAGTGGAGATTTGGAGCTTTGTTAATATTGACTTGACTGTTTTAAGAAATTTAGATTTCAATTCACTTCCTATTCAGCACACATACTAGACATAGTAATACCATTTTTTTGACACAAAAGTAGCTGCACAAAACATTTTCAAGTTTATTTTCTTTTGAATGTAAACTATTCCAAAATATTATAGATAATAGATTAGTGCCAACTGTATCATTTTTCATTTTTTGAACTTTTAGTATTCACTCACTGGAGAAGTATTCTTGTGCGTGTATATGAAACATACATACACGAATTGATTTTAAATTTTGATCAAAGTCCCTTAATGTTTCATTTTAATGAATGGTTACAATGGCTGTTAGTCAAAAACTGTATGCAATTTAGAACAAATGACTTTTAGAAGGAGGGACTGTTACTCTTTTGAAGACTGTACTGTACACCATTTCCTTTTGTGAAATTTCCAAACAGAACCTTTTATGTATTCCAATAAAAGCAACTAGAGTAAAAAAGCAGAACTACTAAAACCAGTAAGAGAAAGCCATCAACTATTGCATATAAAAGGTAAAAAAGAAATAGGCTTATTTATAAACAACAAGGCTCTACAACAATCAAAATCAGAATCTTGTTTTCCGCTCAACAAAGGTGTTGACAAAAATTTATGATTATTTCAAACAAAAAAGGGTGTGAAAAAATAGTGAAACAATTACGAATGGCTGAAAAGCTGACTCTAGAGTGAGTCCCTGGTGAATAAAAAACTTTCAACTGCATAAATGGACAAAATAAATAAAAAATTATTTTATTCAATGTAGTTTTTGCATTTTGATTTACAACTAAATTACTTTTAATACTAAAAATTAGCAAAAGTTAAACTCAATAAAACGATAAAATAAAAAAATAAAAAAAATAAACGTTATCTTACGTTAAAGAAATATCAGCTTCATTTCTTAATGGCAGCTCTAAAACAATGTACTCAGTGATTAGATTTATTAATTCCTTTCTGTCGACATGATGCAACGTGTTTTTCATTTTTTCTACCACTTCCTTTTCAAGGTCCTCACTCATAAAAAATTCTTTTACATGAAATGGAACCTAAGAAATTAAAGGAAAAAAAAAATAACATTCATTAAATACAATAACAAAAATGGAAGAGATTAAAAAAAACTTATAATAAAATACCTGTTTACTTGCATATATTCTATATGCTTGTTCAACAGTCAACATGAGCCATACAGAGTACAAGTGAGTCAAACGTATATAATCATGCATCTTAAAAATATTTATAGTTATACATGCACATGTTATATACATACATATATACACCTAAATAAAATTAAAAATATATAAAAAAAAAACGAACTTTTCCGCTGACAATGTAATCCTGTTCATTCATGCGAAGAACATTGGTTAGATAATCTCTTAAATACATGTTACAATCACCACCTGTAGATATTATTATACCAATAGCAGTTTCAACAGCTCGCAAAGCAACAGATACATCTGCTATATCAATCATTTCATCTAGCATTCTTTTTTGTTCAGAATAAGGTATAACAGTCTATAAAAAAGTTATCCAATTAAAAAAAAATTAATAATAGTAATAAAAATGAGAATATAAATAAAAACAATAATATATATATATATATATATATATATATATATATATATATATATATATATATATATATATATATATATATATATAACATAATATAACAATAAAAACAATAAGAATTGACAAAAATAGTTTTACTGAAATAATTTCACTGCAGTCAGAAAGAACTTACATTAAATTTATCCTAATATCAAAAGAAAAAAGAAACTGAGGGCATATAAAGCAACTGGAGAGATAAAAAGAAACCTAAACTATTGTGTCAACTTTAGGTGTGATGTTCTACACACAGTTGTAAGAAGAATATAAAAACTTTAGACGCCAAAAACTTTAGATGTCACAGTTGTGTGTAAATTGTAAAAAGAAGAGTTGTTTCACCAACAGTATAACTGTAAATTATAACTCACTAATTTACCTTTAACATAATTTGATGAACTTCAGTAAATATTAATTTTTTATAAATTTTTAATAACACAAACAAATCTGAATCTGTCTCTAAAGTTAGTTAGTAAAGCTAAGTTAAAAACTATATGCCAAAAAGGATGAATGATAAATTATGATAAAGCAGACAAAAGAGGTTTCACCTAAACTTAAAAATAAGGTCTAATTATATAAGTATTAAATTAATATAAAGAGCATTATGATAATAAAAGTTAATACTGTTGAGATAAAGTGCAATATCTATGGCAGACATTAATTAACAAATAAATAGTTTAATATCTTTAAATATTTGAATTGCTGGATCAAGTTGCCTCTTAACGGTTTAGTCTTTAAACCCAAAATTTCCAATCTTTTTTTGTATTCAAGATGTTTTATGTTAAATGCTTTATGTAAAACTTTCTCTAGTTCATTGATATTTTTTGTATAATACAGACTTCATGATTAAATTTAAAACTCTAAATTTGGTCTAACATAAGTACTATAAGTATAACTTTAAGATCATTTGAAAAGTGGTGAAAATGTGAAAATTTTTTAAATATAGGCAGATATTTTTTTAAAACTGAATGCTAGTCTGATTACATTGAAAATGAAAAAATTGCTGAAATATTTATTCTTATAATACCAACTAAAGAAATTATAATTTTAATTTATAAATTATAACAAGATAAATTATAATTTATTAAATATTAGAAAAATAGTTCAAAATCTACCATCACTTTCAAGATATACCTGAGGGGGCAAATTTAGTAACCGGTAAAAAAAAAAAAAAGTTTTTTAATTTAAGTACCCAGTATAAACCAAAAGAAACCATTGTCTAAAGAACAACTGAAATCAACCAGCCTATGAAATAACTCTAAAGCATAGTCTATAAAATAACTCTAAAGCATAGTCTATAAAATAACTCTAAAGCATAGTCTATAAAATAACTCTAAACCATAGTCTATAAAATAACTCTAAACTATAGTCTATAAAATAACTCTAAACCATAGTCTATAAAATAACTCTAAATCATAGTCTATAAAATAAATCTAGAACTTTTGCACTAAAAAAATCCATCATTCCATAAGTATTGACTCAAAGTAGATCTTTTCTGCTAATAGATTTTTTAGAATTAAAATTCAAACCAGAATGTGAACAATTAATTGATACATGTTTACTCATTTTTTTATTTCTGAAATAAAATTCAGAAATAAAAAAATTCAAGAATAACCGAGTTACTTTGTTTTTTTAAAGACTAACTATTATTTTATTCATAAGCTTTTTGACCAAATAGCTTAATCAACTCAATTAAAGCTCATTCCTAATTAGAGAGATGTCTGACAAAAGGTAAATGAAAAGTATCATATTTTGTTGCTTGATATATATCCAATCAAAACTTTCAAAGTGGAATACTCTTATATCATTAGTCTTTCTAACTACATAAAATGCCACAAGTAGAAGCAAAAAAAAAAAGAGTATTTAATACAGCTATCAAAATGTGTTGTTTATTTCTGTTGGTAATCTGTAATTTTGAAGCTTTCCATGAATAAATCAATAAAATGAGCCTGATAATAAGTCAAAATTTGATACTAATGATACCCGTTTATAGAAAAGAAAAAAAATTTGCTTGGTAAATATCATTTATTTAAAAATGCATACCTGTTGAACAGAACTCCTCAATAACATTCATTTTTTATTTACAAAATAAAATTCAAGACTAACATTACTGTGTTAATTCATTTTCTTTAGTATTATCTATAATTTCATTTATGGGATTTTTTGAACAAATTGCATATTTGGTCAAAAAGCTCATAAATAATACAACAGGAAGCTGAATTTGCAGACTTTATCGATAAAAAAATTTTTATTTTGATTATTTTAATGGTAAATTTAATTCAACTCAAAAAGATTCATTAAAAAGTATGAAAAGAATAAAGAAGTGAATAAAATTGTTTATTACCGGCAAAATAAAATTGTTTATTTCTGTTGGTAATCTACTATTTTGAAAATTTCTTTATTCTTTTCTAAATAATAAAAAATTAATAATTCATTCAAAAGACGTCTTTTTTTGATCTGGTGCCTACTGAGCTGTAGCGCCTCTTCTAGTTATAAATTTTTTTTTTAAAATACTCTTATAATTGGTTCTGGAATTTATCAGATGTACTTGGAAGCGAAGACATTAAATTTGTTTTTAAAATAATACTTGATTCAGTTTCCGCAACCTTTGTTTTACAACTTTAATTTTGTTTACCAACCGACATTAAATTGTGCAACTTACGCAAGAAAATGTTTCCATATTAAAATATTATTGTTGTACAATGGCTGTAAAACAACTATTTGAAACCAAGCTTAAAACATAAAAAAATAAATCAATAAAAAAACAAAAACAATAACAAGTCAAAATCTAACTGATACCAATAAATATAAAGAATAGAAAAAACTTGTTTAATAAAAAATATTTATTTAAATTCCATACCTGTTGAATAGAACTTCTCAATAAAGGAAAGTTTAAACTTTTGATATCTCCTCTGTAAAAGAATGGTATTAACTCTCTGTCAATCAATGCTTTACCAAAAATAACATTTTCATAAAGACGTCTTTGAATTGTTTCTAAGTTATGCTCAATCTTTGGAGCTTTTCCAATACCAAGAGAGTAATCACAGTTTAAAAGTACTAACGGAAGAAGGTCGTGTTTTTGTTCATAACTTATTATGTCTGTTTCTTTTAACTGTAATATAGGAACATGTTGAAAAACATATGCAGGGTTCATCATATGACACTCTTCTAAAAATTCATTTTGCTGGAAAGCAAGAAAATCAATAAGCATCGAAGCACACAACCCATGATCAGAACGCGCAGCAATGAAGTATGCTAAACTACACTTGTTGTCAAGTTTAATCAAAGGTAAATTTGGTTCCAATCTTTTCTCTCTTTCTAATAACAAAATAAAAAAATAAAAAAAAATTAATAGAAAAAAATCAAATATAAAATATAAAAAAAAATTATGACTTGAATGAGCAGAGCAAGATAAATTTTGTAAGAAAAGAAAATTCATACTAAAATCATTGAATATGAAAAATTTTAATTTTGTGTGCAATTGAGAGCTAAAAACTAATGGGAAAAAGCAGCATAGAAAAAAATGATTAAAAGAATTACAACATTATGAAGTGAATAATTTATTTCCAAAGAAGCTAAGTTATTGTGGTTACACTTTTGAATAATACTTTAGTAAAGAATGTGAAGGTATTATTTCATTTGTAAATAGGAACTTGTTAAAAAAATTAATGAACAGGTAATTTTAGGCATAATACATTACTTGGTGCCAAAAAAATTTAAAATTGTGAATCCCATGGTCTATGGTTTTTCTATTTTTTGTTTCACCTTACCAGAATCAAGACCTTTCCAGGCCTAAGTTATCACGAGACCATGATAAAAAACTATATTTAATGAAATGCCAAAACTATTAAAATGTTTTTATTAAATAGCATACCTTTATAACTGTGAAAAATAAAAAATAAAAAACTCTTAATTCCATTTGCACACTTTGGATTTAAAACAATTAAATTTAAAAATTTAATTAACAAATCAAATTAATTGCACCACACAATGTTTCCTTAATTTTTTCGCTATTACAAGTTAATTTCATGTTTTGATAGGAGATGAAGAAGTTGTAAAAAAAAAAAACCTTTAAAATTCATTAACTTAAATATAAAAACAAAAAAAGTGAAATAGTTTTAGTAAACTTTTGTTCAATTATGGCTTTAAATGTACAGAGTATGAAAAATTTTTATCATACTTTAAATATGTCACTGATATATATGCTATTTAAGCATAATTAATCTTCCACTTAAAGTAAAATTGAACTTTTAGATAAACAGCAAAAATCAACATCCACTTAAGAAAATTTAACTTGTATAAAGTTAAACTAACCTGAAAAAAGGCCACGGGCATGGTTCCATGTTTTAATGAAGCATTTAATAAGTTTTTCAACTTTTTTTCTTATTCCTAAATTTAAAATAAAACTAAATACAAAACCAAAAACCAAAAATAATAATTGATATTTTATAATTTAAAGTTATTCTAATATACTATGTATAATTTAAATTTACACTAACATTTAACTAAATGGTTTATCTTGTCTTTGTACCTATTACTTAGTACCTAGTACTTGGTTAGCAAAGTACTTATTACTACTTACATGCGCTAATACTTTGTGTGTTTAAAGTGATTTACCATACACTGTTTGAAATAAAGTAAAAATCATTTAATTTTTCAATTACACGTAGTAAAATTTAATGATACCGTGTTGAATTGCATAATTAAAATTTAATGATACCTGGTTTACTTGCATTAATATCTGATAAAAATTCTGCAACAGTTTTATTGACAGCAGTTTTTTTGTCAAGTTTGTAGTTAAATTCATGTTGCAAAAATTTTTGAAGCTCTAATATAAGTGGTAATTCTTTTATCATGCTAAGTACTGATTCCTAAAATTAAAAGTCAATATTTTATACATATAAAGTAAATTCATTGTTTAAGCTTTTACGTGACACTTATTTTCATATAGATTTTACTCAAATAACACAAAGAATCTAATATAAGTAAGTATTGAGGTATAATCAATTTGATTTTGCTCTATTGTTAAAATTTATCTATAAAATTTTTTTACTGGAAAAAAACATTTTTTGGTCGAGACAATCTTCAAATCTTCAGCTAAACTGTTACATAATTGGTGTGGCAAAATCTCACAATTTGTCTTACCACTCTCTGATCAACTGAAAAGTTTAGAACAAAATGAGACATGAAATTTGTGTGAAATTAGCAAATCTTCTAGTACCTTCTAGTACCTAATAACCTCTATAAAATTTATTGTTAAAATAAATTTTCCATTGATTTCCCTCTTTAAATTATAACGATCAATGATCATATAGCATTTAGACCTAATCAAGCAAGTTTTATGCCTGTAATCTAATTCATTTCCTTAACCATAAAAACACTACATTTGTTTTTAAAAAAAAACAACCCAGTGAATATTTAAAATCAACAGTTATTGAGGTCATTTAGCTGATATAAAATCACTCTTGAATACCTAAATTAATTAGGTGAAACAAACATTTCTAAAAAAAGTATAGGACTACATTTTACAAGCATAAAAGCAGCATAAAAGTCAAAGCATAAGTCTCATATTAACAATATTAGCAGAAATAATATATCTGAAGTCAGATATTTTTTCTGTAAAGCAAAATCAACTTTATCTATAAAATGTAAAAAATATTTTTTTGATTTTAAAAAATTCCTTTTTTTCTGAGAAAATATAAAAGTTTTTTGTATGCGTGTTAATTAAACATATCAAACAATATTTTCTGAAATGTTAAAAATTGTTAAACTTTTCAAAAAAAAGTTATTAAAAAAAAGTATTAGAAATTGGCAATCTAGAAATTTCAAAACATTGCATTGATAAAATAATAAATACAATTTGCTTAATTAACTTAATCAAACTTTATTATTTTAAATTAAATCAATATAGTTATTTAATAAGATAACAATCTAAATTCTATAAAAATACATTTTAATGGGGATTAATTAATAATTCCTCTGTTATAATGTTTGTATACAAGATGTTTGATTATATAACCATAATGAGTCAGGAAAGCAGGATAAAATAATAGGAGAAAATGTAAAATGGTAAATAAATGAGAGGGTAAATAAATAAGAAAATAAAGCTAAGTCATAAAAATATTTTTTTAAAAGTTTTTTTAAGTATTTTCTCTTAATCATAAATCTAAAATTTTTTTAAACGTAATCCTACAACTTTTTAAACATAATCCTAAAACTTTTCAAACATAATCCTACAACTTTTTTAACATAATCCTACAACTTTTTAAATGTAATCCAACAACTTTTTAACATAATCATACAACTTTTTTAACATAATCTTACAAATTTTTTTATTGTTATCCTACAACTTTTCAAGTCATCTTTCAACCACTTTCTTGCTCTTTAACTATATACTTTGTTTTTTAGTTTTTTTGTACTCCTAACTTAAGAGTGGTTGCTTGCAGCTTTGTTGGAAGTGAATTATAATTTCACAAACTTGAGAAATTTATGGAGCGATATAGATTTTGATAATCAAAATATAAACTTTTAGATTCAAAATGAGATTATTTATTAACATTTAAAACTAATTCAAATTTATTGAATTAACAACTTTTTTGAAAGTAAAATACAAAAACTCAAATAATTAGCTAATTTATTATGTTTTTTGTCAAAAATCATAAAAAAATTAGTTTTACATTTTTAAATTTCTTTTGACAATTAAAGGTAAACTTAATCTTAAATCTAAAACTTTAATCTAAAAATAAATAGGTAAACATTAACCACCTGTTCTAAAAACTTCACAAGAATCGATATGTCTTTAGCACCACCACCTGCTACTTTTAGTTGAACAGCAACTTTTAGACTTTCAACCGATACTGATTGTCTGTAAAGCCAAAGTTGCGGACTCATTACTGTAACATTTGACAAATCTAGTTCTGCATCTAGTTCAAATATTTTCCTCATCAATGGAGAGTCATTTATACAACGGTCTGCCATCAAAAATTTATTAAATTGTAAAAGCTCTTTATCCAATGACTGAAATAAATAGTTCATAAAGATCATATTTTATATAACATTTATAAAATATTTATATAATAATATAGTTAAATCCAAAGAGTAAAACAAGTAATGAGAAAGTATCAATTAAACAGAATAAAAAATTACATTGAAAAAAGGTTGAATAAATTTTCGATCAAAAGCATTTTCATATTGATTTCTGATTTGCGCACTTGTTAAATCAACCATCATTATGTTGTCTGAATATAAAAAATTATTTATGATAAAAAAAATTTATATATATACATAATTTTAAAAAATGAATTCAGCAATTCCCAGAGGCCAGAGGGCCATTATAGTCAACAAATTTTACTTACTCTCAATTGTTATTATAACCCACTCAGTTAAAACTTAAGCACAAACTCTAACAAACAAGTTGAGGGCAATAATTCTAGGTACAATCCTGGTTGTGATGGACAAAATCAACAAATATAAACAGTTTTTAGGGAATACCCTTTATCAGTCTTTTTACTATGAGCATAACAAACACGACACTTTTTATGACAACTTCTTTTATTTTTATCTGCAGAATTTGTTATATTTGAAGGGCCTACCAGTAAGATAATCTACATCTTCTCCAATGACCACCCTAAGGTTATGGGGTATCTCTGGGGTTAGTGAAAAAACTAGCTTAATGTTGATGATTAAAAAATCTAAGTACAATAAAGAGAATAAAATTTTATAGAATAAAAATATGTAATGAGCTGCCGGTACATTGATTGTAAATTTTATGTGAATTCGAGGAGCACCACTTATGTTTTGCAAAGACTTAGAATTCCATTGGGCCGCTGATCTACCCTATCAACACCACCCATGTGCAAGTTGTAAGCCTTTATTGCTGATGGCTTTATAATATTACCTCTCCGTCAGACTTAACCACTGTCAGAATTAACCATCACTGGATTATGGAAAGTTGATAATATATATACAACTTTTCGTTTGTTGCCAGTTTTATCTTTTGCAGGCCAACATCTGCAGACTATCATTTTGTTTTTCATGTATATAGTTTTGTAAAAATAAGGAGTTCTTTTTTCCAGTTTCTTTTTATAATACCTTTGCAGTAAACTTACAATTAACACAGATAGTTTCACAAAGATAAGTCTTTTTAGACAAAAGATAAGTAGCAAGGTAGTAGCTTGCATAATAGTTGTCTGTGAAAAGTATTTGGTTTTTCTTTAAAAAAGAAGTCATCAATTCTACTGGTATGCATTCATTAGATGGCATTCCCTGTAAAATGTCATCTTCATACATCCCTAAAAAATGTAAATGTTGTTAATTTAGTCTAAAAAATCTGATGTTGTTAATTTTTATAAATTGATATCAAAGGGCGCCTTTTTGGTTTTTACCTACTGGCAAAAATCAAGTCTATTTTGAATAACACCAGGGACTTGTCTACACTCAAATACTGTCCTGGATTATAGACTTTTCTGCAACAATCTCAGACCATGTTCAAGAAGGATCTAACCTTATGAAGTCGGTCTCATGCAGGATTATTTGGAACATTGCTAGGGTCATTGCTGTTGTTAAAATTTTAGGGTTATTGTTGTTGTAAAAACTTGATAATAATTTTTATTTAGTCTTAATTCATAGTTTTGAAGAAATTCCAATAAAGCTCTTTAGTCAACAAGCACATAATTAAATTAGGTTTATGAACAATCATCAATATCACTAGTCCTAAAAATGTTTTTAACTCAACAACTGACATTCCAATGATAAAGGATAACTGATAAAGGATTCCAATTCTTTTTAGAAGAATTAATTGCTTTGTCAGATTATCTTTCAGAAAATTTATTGCATAATTAACATAATCTCTTGCATAATTAACATAATCTTAACATAACAATTAGTTTCACTTTTGATTGATTTGATTGAAAGTTAATTCAAGAATAGTATTTGTCAAGAAGTGATCAAAAAAGTCAAGAGTGTTTTCTAATCTTACTCTAGCATTTAAATCTTGAGATGATATAAACTCAAATGCTTTATCTTCATTCTCTTTGTTATCAACTTCAACATGATCCCAGGCCAGATGTAAATCAGTTCGGTTAACAAAACTGATTTATTGACATGCTTGATCACCTTGAAGGAGAACATGGTTGCAACAAACAAGCCCATCACCACAAGTAAAAACATGAAACTGCTTCCTACTAGGTGATGTATTGCTGCTATCAATTTCTATATTAGTGCTGACAATAATGTCACCACTAATATAGAAATTTACTTATATATTTATTAGATATAAGTAAATTGTGTCCTTGTTTTTTTTTAAATTTTTAATGTCTGGAACAAAATCTACAAAATCTTCTTCTTCATATTCTATAATGCTCTTAGAGTCACTAATTTTTTTTTATCAGGATCTTTATCA